ATTTCTCTCACCAGGTTACAGGCATTTTTGCAGATATTGATCTGATCTGAATTCTTCCTATCCTAAGAGTACCTACCCTAGGAACTCTTCCTACTGGGCTTCATGGTGGAATCAGCAGACCTATTCACTGGCATGAAATTGTCCCCTGACTAAGAGTATTCTTATGCAATCAAATCAGCCACAGCACTAACAGACTAATCTGTTGCAGTGATGTCATTCAGGTCAAGTTGGAAAATAACCTACCATGAGGCCTAGTGTTTTAGCTCCCTTAAGCCTAGAGAAGAAATCCATGGTAATGCTGTAGGGATCATAATACCCCAAGTATTGGCCACAGTCAATATGCTCTAAATGTGATAGCTATTTTTCTTCTAATAATGAGGAAAAGCATTCAACAGTAATTTTATAGAAATTCTAAAGCCCAGGGAGCTGAGGACTGGATAATATTGGGGTGGGGGAATGGGTTGTTTTGTGTTTCTGAAGTCTTCTGCTGTGTGGTAGGGCAGGAGGAAGTGAGAGGGGCATGCTACGTAATGGTGGGAGACTCATGCTAAATATTTAGATGGCGATAAGGAAAAACTGGGTACAAAGTCAGTAGTGAGGAATGGGAATGAGAAAGATTCTGTGACAATAGAAATACTAGAGAAAATGTTAAAAGGGGACAGCTCTAAAGATGGAGAAAAAAGAAAAGTGTTGAAAGAATCAGGGGGAAAAGTTAGGCAGAAAGTTATGGATAAAAGTAGAAAGAGTAAAATGGACCAGGGAGAATTCCCTCAGCCCCTATAAACTATATTGGAAGGAAAAGGCAAAGGGGGAAAAGCTGATACACACAAATACACACACACACACAAATACACACACACACACTCATAAAAGAAAGAAAGGTAAAATAATGGAATGCGAACGAGGGGAGAATGAACAGAAACAGGAAAGTAAATACATAAATGTTCCCTGTTGCTTCGGCTCTATAGCTTTTCCCACAGCAGAAGAATAGGGAAGCAAGCTCAAACAAAGGTCTTGGGGATCAGCCTGCTCCCAGACTGCTGTTGATGCAGGTAGACATCCTCAGGCACTGGGACAGGGCACTTCGCTCACCGGCCGTCCCCTGAGTATACAGCCTGAATTTGGCCTCCCACTGCAGAAGCTGCCTCTACGTTCCCTGCCCCAGTGGCTCTGCAGGACTCTCCAGGCTGTGTCCGGGGGCTGTTTTTTGCTCATCCACTCTGGGAACTTGAATGAATCATAGACTGTAGCAAGGGGCTTCTCTGGCATCCAGGCTCAACTCCTGAGTCTCCTATAATGGTGTCCCTGCCATTTCTCCTTCCTCTATTGTGGTGGCAGGTGCTGTCCCCAGGCTCACTGCTGACTGTGGAAGACCACCCTGCAAGCAGGACTCCATATTTTCTTTGTTGGTTCCAACTGCCACTGACTCAATCTCAATGCCAGTCTTGGGGCTCCCTGGGTGAAAGCTTTCAGTTTCAATTTGTGTCCTGGGTGACAGCTGGCTAGCGGCTCTCTGGCCTCTGGCAACATGATTTGTAAGCTGTCTCTTCTCCTTTCTGCTTCTTCTGTATCATTTAAACCTTTATTACTCTTTTATTTTTTTTTTCAGTTTGTTCCTTGTTCCCTTGTAACCTCCACTCATCTGATAACTCTTTAACATACTATTTTTCGGACTCTAGACATTTTGCACTAGAAAAGCTGATTTGCTGGTACTCACTGTTCTACCATTGTCCTTACCTGGCTACCAATTTGAAGCATTTCTCCTTAACTTTCCTCTTAGGAATATGTGCAGGATATTATTTAATATGGTACTGGATTAAAAGAAAATAATGCCATAGGAGCGCACTGTTTAAGGAGTTGGCAGTCCTAGAGCCAGTTTCTGTGACTTTCTTTCTTTATATTTATTTATTTATTTATTTATTTATTTTTGTATTTTAGGGAAGGGTCTACAGGGTGTTCAAGGTCTCACAATTAGATGAGACTCATAGTGATCCACCTGTTCACAGCCTCCCAAGAGCTGGGATTACAGGCGTGTGCCACCATGCCCAGTCTCAATTGCCATCTCAGTGTGTCCCGATGTGGGGCCGGCACCAGCGAGCCTGGGGATTGAACCCCTAGCCCCTGCACTTGCTTGCTATTGGCTGGCCCTTACTATATGACTTTCTAAACTAGCTCAAACCAAGCACGGCATCACGTTTTTGACCACTAGCTGGATGGTGAGACTCTGTCTTCTCATATCAGCTGCCTTAAAATGAAGACAAGACTGCACACCTGCGATGCACCTGTCACAGTAGGATCCCAGTATTTTTGGCCACAGCTCTTACCCCAATAGTGACAGCGCAGTTCTGTTATCACAGGGTGATTGCTTTCCTGGTGGCTACCCAAAATGGATGATTTATAAACTAGACATACAGAAAGATAATATAATATTTGATTATTATTTACCAATTAAATGTATAATATGGCAAGAACCTGGACACAGATACCTCTGTCTCTGTCTATCAGACAATTCCAAGTTTCAGAGGTCTCATATCAATACTCTGGTGTATTTCACATTGTCAAACCAACCATGCTCTGCCCAGCTCGTGAGCTTTCCCTGGGTAAAGCTCTCTTTTTCCTTCCCCATTGTTGGCCTGAGATTGAGACAGAAACTGTATTGAGATGAAGTTTTTTAACTCAATGATTTTGCCTCACTGAGACTCTTCAACCACAATGGTTAAGAATTAATATTGCTGGGCTTCCTGATTGAAAAGCTTACTAATTTTGCAAAATTGTTACCTATTTTTAGCATAATGCTATAATGTTTCTTTATTTTTTAAAACACTTAGAGAAATCTAAATTATACAAACTACATTTTGTTTTACAACTTTTTCCACTACTCTACTCTTCTTCTGTAGTTCCCCTATATTTGAATTTTTCTCAAGGTAGGGATGGCACACAGGTGGTTTGGTTTTTTCAAAATGTAACCATTGACAGGGTACATCTATTTCACATTTCTCTTGTTGCTGGGACAAGATATCCGGCATCCACAATTGAGGAAGGAAAGGTTTATATAGCTCACAGTTTGTGGAGGTTTCAGTCTAGACTTGACTGGCTCCAAGGCAGAGTGCCACATGCAGAGGACGGCCGTTCATGGTGGCAGAAAACAGCAAAGAGCAAAGCAGATGATGCTTCTAGGAGCCTATCTCCCCTCCTTACATTGTAATGCAGATCACCCAACCCAGGCAGGGGTAGCCCTCACACCCATAATCCCAACATTGGATCATGAATTATTCACAAACACTTGAAGCTGCCCCATGACTGCATGAGACTTTGGGGGGACACCTAGATAATTGTAGCATAGTGGCAGACTCTTGCTACAATACATATGGATATATATA